CCCCCGCCTCCGTACGTATGGGTGTTGCGAAAATAAGCACTATGGAGTCAAGTTTACAGTTCATATATATATTAAGCCGGTTTCATTTTTCTTCTTCCTTCTTTCCAATGGGATGTTTCAAGAAAGGGTGTGTGGAGATAAAAAAAAAATAAGGTTAGAGTGCTTTACATGGGCGTGTTTCTGTTTCTGTCGAACGGAAGGAAGAGGACAAGAAGAAGAATAAAGTTGCGGGTGGGGGGTTTTGCGGGCGAGAAAGGCCGGGTGTGTTTGTTTCACCGCTCTCAGGGTTTTTGTTCGGTACTTTGAGAAAGAGAGAGAGAGAGATGCGAAGAGGGTATGGATTGAGGAGCCCGAGGGGCGTTGGAGTGGAGAGTTGTATTAAGCGGTGGCAGTACTGCGGATATTAGGGTTTCCTGTTCTTGGGTTAGGGGCGGGGGCTTGTCTGGTGTGGGTTGATCTGTGTGCTGTGTACTATGTAGATGGACATGGGGAGGGAATGGGAGCGGCCCAGGGAGGCTTTTTTTTTGTGATGCTGACGGGTATGTGTGTGTGTGAGGGTTGAATGTGGTATATGCTGGGTTTACTAATATAGAGACTTGTAGTGATAAAATCGAGTGTTTTTTATTTTGGGGGGGGGGGATAGAGATGCAGGGCAAGAGGCCGATGCACAAAGTTGGTCAAACGGACTTCTGGGTTTTTTGCCTAAAAGGAAGCAAGATGTAGGGCTGATTCGTACTAGATGGGACTTTATCTCAGTGTAGATGCGCTAATACTTTCTAGCGCCCGTTTTTGTGGCCGCTAGACGTATATTCTTCGCACATGACGCTGTTTCCATCGCCGCTTTCTAGATGGAGCCCAGATTGTTCCCCAGATTGGGTTTAGCAGACGGATAACGGTGCTGAATCGAACAGAGAGTTTAGAGGGGGGAAGTGGAGTTGGTCCGGGGAAATTGGGCGAGGTGGTATTATTGTGCATAATTGTGTGTGTACTACTACCAGCTGTGCTATGCCCGTTGACTCGCGAGTCTATAGATGCAATCGCCTGGTATCCGATTTCTAGCATATAGTACGTACTTTAGAACGGTTATCTAGAGGGTGATCTAGAGGTACAAGGCCTTAAGTTCCTCCAACTCTTCAATCACCTGGTTGATCTGCTCCGGCTTTTCTAGCACCATGACGCTCTCAACAACGTCGGCAACGCGTTCGTGCCAGAGAGCCTCTTGATCTATCTCTTCTCCTTCAACACTGTCGTCGTCGTCGCAAAGCGACCCCGCGTACGAGGTCAATCCCGAGTACCCAGCGTCGCTGATCCGAACAGGCGTCCCGGGAGATGGAAACCCAAACGGCAGCGTCGGCTGCGTACTCAGTGTTGAGCTAGTATTCGGAGAGCGCAGCGTAAGCGGCAACGGACGATCGGGTGCTATGTATTTATTTCTCATCAGTACATATTATACAGAAAGCCATGCGTTCTCAGAGGCCACCAAACACATGGTAGGAGAAAGTAAAGGGAAACGTACTGTTTGGTGGGTAATCCCTCAGCTCCGACGCCATCGACGCCAGCGACGTCGAGCGCTGGGCCGCCTGACTCATGGCGCGCTGCCGTTCGACACGCAGGATTGGCGGAAGCGCATCGATGCGCGGGAAGACGGAGAAATCGCCTTTACTACCACTGCGCATCGAGCTAGTAGTAACGCTCAAGTTGCTGCGCGAGGCTCGTTCTTGCAGCGCGATGCGGGCTTCTCTGTACACCACATGCGTTAGTTTCGGCAATTTACTAGAGTATTTGCAACGCTCTGTTTGGTCCGGGTTCCGGGCAGACAAAGAGAGGCAAATTGTGGGTGTGTGAGAGGTTCAGAGAGTCCCGAGGAATCTGTTGTGGCACCAGATTGTGCCTGGGTCACGTAGATTCCGGATTCCTGGGCTCTTGCGTAGGCAGAGGTGGATGAGGGGTTTGGCATACACAGGGCGTTGGGTGAATACTTCTTGCATCAGTGTGCGGAGGTGTGGGTTCGCTATGCGTGCGAGGTTGTAGCCCTATTATCAAACAACGTCTATGTTAGCGTTGGGTGTTTCTTTGTGAAGGATTGATGGGTCTGGGGAACAGTTGATAGATACGTGATCGAGGCGTAGCTCGCGGATGTGCAGACTGGCTTCTTGATAGTTCTTGCTGTTTTCGTTGATCCAGTAGCTGAAGAGGGACAGGTTGACCTCGGCGACAGTCTCGTCGTAGATCTCTTGGGCGATGCGGCGGACTTCGTCGTGTGAGAAGTTGACGTGCAGGGATTCGCATCTTTGGTGTTTGCGGACACGGCCGCGGTTTGAGAGGTTGTCGTTTCTCTTACTTGTTTCTTCGGTTACCGGGTGCTGGTCATGAAATCTGTCGATTTCATCCTCATTGAGAGGGACGGATTCCTCTGCGAAAGCAGCAAACTGTTCCGGTGACAGTACTTGAAGCTGTCCGAGGTCTTCAGAGGTTTCAACATCTTCTGCAGCTGGTTAAGTTTATATCACTCATATTGAAGAAGTTACTTACTTTGTTGACCGAAGTCTCCGGCAGTGTCCTTGCTTTCGCCTGTTGCTGCTTCCTGGGAAAGATTCTCCTCATCCAAACGAGGGCGCTCATCCACGTCGGTGGCGTCATCTTCCTCATGCTCGGAGCTCCAAACGATGGATAGCTGGCTGCCGCTATAGACGCCACCATTGTCGCGTTTCTTGCGTCTGAAGAGACTGGCAAGCGACCTCGCACTACTCTTGCGAACCGGTCGGCGACTCTCTGAGCTATTATCGCTCATGCTCTCTCTCACATCATGTCTCTGAAGGGTGACTGCGGGGGGGTTTTGATTGATACCTTTTTTTGAGTGTTCTGACTGGCCCCAAAGCGCTGGCACTACGTCTGGAGAGAACATGGCCGCCGCCAATCCTGCTTGGAGTTGGAAATGTGGAAAATCCATGGTGTTGATATACAGCTATCTGCTGGTATTCTGTCGTGCAACGTCACGTAGTGGTGGATTGAATTTCGAAAAATGTGTTGTGTGTGTGGTGTATTGGCAATGTGAATTTGAAGTAAAAGACGTGGTGATAAACGAGCCGTGAAGTGGTGCACTGACACTCAAAGTGAAGGTGAGACACCCGTGATGAGGTCTGCTATCTCGGGAATAAATCGCTCAGAAAGGCCAAATTGAAGGCTATGGAAACATGAAGAAAAATAACATGCTCTCATTTCGTTCGTATCATGGAATCAAGAGGTGGTGCTTCAGCTACGCAGGAATCAATTCAAGAATCTGAGTGTGGTAACCGTACAACATCTCAATGAGTTGTTTTAATACAACCCTCGCAACATCTAACCTGCTTCCAATGTAGTATGTTAGCAACGAAAGTGATGAAGTAAAAATTGGCTGTGTTAAACTCGAGTGGGTGATAGGGCCATACAAAGCGATGTCACTGGCGACGCTTGAGTCAATTCAAGCTCGCGTAAATCGTAGTTCATCGGTTCTGGTAGACAACTCACCGTGATGCAACATGAAGGAATATCTCTAGGATAAGGATGTAGCACTAATTTCCTTTTGTTGATACTGAGTGTTCTGTCAAACCAAAAAAAATTCAAATATCACAAGTAGTGCGTGTGGCTCAAGCCGACGTAGCTAGCTTCTTGGATGTGACATCCTCCGACTCTCCCAGATTCATACCCTAGATTTCAATTTCCACAGTGGTACCGAAAAAGGCGCCGAAATAGTCACGGTAATGGAACCACACATGCCAGTGCTGTGCTTGATTTCGTAATCAACTACATTGACATCGCTGATAAGTGCGACTTTTTCGTTCCAATCAATCGAATGTACAACATATTATTCACAAGACCAGAGAGAAGCAAAAACAGTATATGTAACCAGATGATAGGCGAGGAAGCAGTGGTAGGAGTTGGAGAATGTCAAATCTAGGCCGAAGCCATCAAACAGTCAATTTCCATATGAGTGGTCATATTGAACTGGTCGGGACGACAACAGGCAGCGTACCGTAATCCCACCGGTGAACCACCGGTTATGAAGAAGGCAGCAGAATACCGAGTCTACTCAACGACTACTCGTATGTATTCAATCTGCTGATTGCCTACACAGAGTTTACGTGCCGATGCAAGTTTCACTCATGTTCGTGGTATGTCACGTGACCCTGTAGTGAGACAATAACCGTAACCCTTCATCAAAACTACCGTCTAGTACGCGTCTAGCAAATTTCCTTCTAGAGAATTATGAGAAACGAAAGGCATCCTTCTTACAAGGGTATCAAGAATACTACTTTACGCAAAGAATCAAAATCCAATTTAAGTTTAATTTCAGATGCACCTCTTCTTTAACCCTAACTTTCACTCTATCTCCAATTCTTTCTATCACCCGCTCCTATCACCCTCTATTATTGCCCTTTTATCACTGTTCTTGTATTACTGAAGAGAACAAAGAATCCATGCTTAACAATGCCTTAATCTGCACTCCTGGTATCATCCAATAACAGCACCTTCTCGCTGAGGCTTTGTTTTCACAGCTCTTGATCCAATTGATATTTGACGAGGCTAAAACGGGTGACGTATGGGTTGGGATCGCCGTTCACTGACGCGCGAATAGCCCGATTGACCTCGAGGGCGTCGATGTCAAGCGAGGCGACAGGCTGTGCCAACGGGTCGAAAGTTGCCGTCTCAGTTCGACCGCCTGCAAACTGAATCGACACAGCGATACCTGTCGTATCCGCCGGCAAGTTATCATTTGCGCTCATTCTCACTGTCAAACGTCCGTCGCCAGTGGTGAAAGCAGACACACTGATATAATCCTCTCTAGAAGTCCTTGGTCCGTGAGCAAATTCATTGATAGTGGCGGTTACGATGACCTCACGATTGGTAGGCCGGCGGTGTCCTGTGTGCAGTCCCGTAGGTTGCAGTCAATGCGAAGGCCACATCCGAAACATTTTAAATTTGTTGCCTCGACACTCGTGATGAGACTTGCTACAGCAAGTAACAGGATGTTGAAGAAGTATTGGAACAAAGGAATCCCAGCCGATGGATAAAAATCAGTGGCCAAAAGTTAACGTTTATGAATATCTTATTCCAAGTCAAGAGAACATATTAGCAGATATGTAGAACTAGAGCGCCCATAGGACTGTATTATTCTACCGAGGTATCTTGTGAACCGTGAACAACACGGTACGGTTCAGCAACTAGGTTTCTTATATGAGAATTCTGACTTGCTCTCGCAATACAGCAGTGTGGTAAATGGGGTCTCTATATCAGAATCGTTTTTCGTGATTTTCTCACCCGATACTAGCCCAAACAGGAGATGTAGTGGCTCATTGTAAATTTTTGATTAATTGTTTTCAATCTCTACTCGCGAAGAAGCTATCAGCTTACCTACCTTGGTAAGACCTGTGTCTCTGTACTTTACTCTGATCTAAGACATTTCTTCAACTCAGAGAGATGCTTAGAATTTTAACATCAGCATATTATATGGCTTATCTACGACTTTCAAATAAGCCACTACACTTCCTGATAAGATTAGAATTCGCGGAGATGATGGCGATTCGAAGATCCCGTGGTGGAGACCCATGTACCAGCCTAGATTAGACGTTTTTAGTATAAATACCAGGTTTGTAATATGCCTAAAGTGTGGCCGAACAAAAACGGGGTAGTTCTCGTATAGCAAAAACTCTAGTTCCCAGCGTGTAAGTACACAATAAGATGAGATTGACTCCCAAGATGAGGTTTGTCCCCCAGGTCTAGTGCGTGCTCGTGAAAACCTTCTCCCTAATGTAGCTTAGGGCTTAATCTTTCAATCTGACCTCTCCGCATCACCAATAAACACCCGAACCGCTACTTGAGGGTGCAACAACGCATCGCTTACGTGTCCCTCACGCATGCCCTTCGGCTTAATCAAAAAGTACACCCAGTGCGCTTACTGTGTCTGCAATGGGTATGACATGTGGATGCCTGCGCCAGTAGTTGCAGAGATCAACTCGCACGGCGCTTATGGACGTTGCACAAGACGACACAGAAGTCTCTAACCGCGGGCAGGATCGACCATACCCGCTTTTCCACAGCATCGATATTGCGGCGCAGACCCAACTCTAGGCACTGCCCTTTGATAGTATTAGGTCACAATGGGGACCTATGCGTATCCTGGCTCGACTTCGTGACCACTCACGCGACCAAGACCAGCCCTGATCAGCGAACTTATGATCCTAGCTTCAAATGGAGCGTCTCGGCTACGAGAACCAGAACACGCGGGATGACGGCGAGCCACGTTTGAGTACGGCCTTTTTTTTCTTTAGGGTTCGAATGCGAAGCCAATGGCCGTTGACTACATGACAGAACGGATAGCCGCAGTGGCGAGCGGGACGTGGTTGTGGGCTGAAGAGGTGCCTTGGGGAGCTGATTCGCCAGGTAGCGCAGCGAATGGGGCTGTGAGGCGCTGCCTCTTGACCCCAGACAAAGACAACAGATCTCAGCCGTTCAAACGACCGCAGGATTGCTGGCCCACCCCCCGGTTCCCCATTGACGGCCGTGCAAATTCCGCAGGCGCTGTCCATATGAAAATTGCGGCGAGGTTGATGCAGCTGGGGCGCTGCCGTCCAATCGAAAGCCGACATTAGCGCCTCTGCTTGTTGGGCTGCCCATCTATTCCCAACTGAGCCATACACCCAACGTCCTCCATCCTCCACAAGCTTTCCACACCATGTACCAACGGCGGGGCTATTACAGGCGGCTCTCGAAACTTTGAATCGCGTTCACGCGCACGGCGTAGCTCAACGTCGCCACTAAGATGGCATGATTATTCTGACATTCTCGACAGCTCTAATGGGTGTAGTACGCACTGTCACGCCGCGGATGACGCGAGTGCGGTGCATTCATATAGCAAAAGTGTAGCCTGCAGGCCTCAGGTGGCACCAGTTCCCAGTCCTCTGTTATCGTCATGTCTCGTTGTGCGGCGCAGTCTCTCTTCTCCTATCCTGTTTGACTTTACCCAGTTGACCGGAACCAAGGCTGTGCCGCAATAGCATTCCTTCGCTGCTTGCTTATGCACTCGGGCGCTGCCTTCTTTTACACATCCTTCGCCGCCGCCATTGCCGTACTTTCTTTTCGTGTCGCGCGTCTCATCAGACGGCATCATTACGCCTCTGCACATTCCAGGCCGACATCCACAGAAAAGCTTATCACACACTTGGCACGATAACCCTTCCGTAGACATGGCTACGCTTTCCGTGCCGTCCCCTGACATGTCCCCGGCCTCATTGGGTGGCGGCGTTCACAGACCACTCTCCACACATGGCCTGCCAAAGCCGCCGCGGACCATGTCACCGGAACGACCACATCGTTTTTCAGCAAAGAGCTATCCTCCTCCCACTCTCGCTCACACTCCTATGACACCAGACATGTCAGGACCAATGTCTCCACCACCAATGTCGGCCAAGTCCTTTGGCACCTTTATCGATTCAGAGCCATCAACCCCAGCCTATTCACCGAGGATCGGCACTGAATGGAACAACTCTTCAGTGCTCCTCGTTCGACCCACATCGTCGTCTTCAGAGCCTGCCAGTCCTGGAGAGCCGGTATGGCGCATGTTGAAGCCATTGCCAATGAAGGCACCACCCAAACCGAAGAACAAGCCCACCTCGGTTGTATCTCAGTCAAAGGCACCAGCCGTCGACACCAGGGAGATTCCCTCGAACACGTCTCTCTACGCACACCCCGCCAAAGAGGCGAGGCACATCAGCCGGCCGACCGAGTTCAAATTAGCAGATCTATCTCAGCAAAACTACCCTCCAAAGTGCGAAGATATCGAACTGAGTGCAGACGAGAGGCCAGATGAACAAAACGGTGGCACTCCCACCTCAGTGGCCTTTGGCAGGCTAGCTTCCAAGATGAAGTTGATGCTCCGACGAAAGAACACTGATACGAAGAAGAAAGAGAAGA